CTCTAATCCAAACACAATAATAGTATCAGAAATTATAATAAAAGATTGCTCAGAATATTTTTGCAATGGAATATATTAAAAATTATTTAATCACACAACAATTTTATGCAATTCACAAAAATACTATGGTTTTGGCTGAGGTTATGGGAATCGCGAATACTATTATTACATTACAACTTAGAAAACTAAGAAATAATATCGACCAAGAATTTCACGAATTTATGTGATTGCTGAGGCGAAAGCAAAATTATATTATTTGGAAATTCGCAAGCCTCGACTTGCACTTAGACAATCAAATAATTCCAATATTAGCGTCAACTCATTTGAGGTTTATCAAAAAATAACCGTTTTTATTTTATTTTTGGATATATTATTGACTCAAATTTCAAATCAAAAAACGATTTGTGATTCGTCAAATGGCTCTATCTAATTTACAAATAATATTATCTAGAAATCCTTCTGAGGATATATTAAATTTTGGCATTGAAAAATTTAATATTTAGCTCAATTTTTATTTAGAGGATATAAATGTATCTTAAGGTAAATTAATTTAAGAATTTAAACCTTGGTAAGAAAGATTAATTTTGGTAGATAATCCTCCAAGAAACGTCATGGAAGCATTGCAAACTTTAAAATATATCTTAGAATTTTTTCTTAATACATTAAAATTTATTTTGGCAAGCTAATTAGTACAAACACAATGGAAAATTCCAGAGTTGTTAAAATATCTAGATACTGTATCTAGATATAAAAATGTGGTATCTGTATCTAGATAGATTTTTGATTAAAGTATCAGTATCTAGATATTATTTTAGAAGTATCTGTTTTTAGATACTTTTTAAGATACATTTTGATATACTTCTATTTAAGGCTTTTTTATATTATAAATAAAAATACTTGAATGTAAAATTAATTTTATTTCATATGAGCATATAACTTAATATTAATATATATAATAAAAAAATATATATATGTAAAATGTTAAAACTTATATATAAAAAAGAATATATAAATATTAATTAAATATTATGTCCGAGTTATCAATAACAAGAAAATTCTGATATTACAATCCATCTCAAGGAATTTGCCATTTTTAATTGCAATGCAATTGGTATTTTATTTTATTTTATTCTATTATAATAATTTTTAAGATTAATATTGATGACGAAAATGACGACATTCATCCATGGCCAATTTATAGACCATATTTTAAAATAATATCTCAAAACAAATGAACCTGAAATTTTGTTTACCACTCTTAATACCTTACTTAAAGGGATTGAAGATAGGTAAATTAATAATAAATTAATCAATATTTAATAATACTAGGTTTATTGGGACAATTTTTGAAGATGAAAATATTTTGGCAACTATGCTTCATCCTTTTTTTAAACTAGATTGGACATGGTTACAAATGGATGAAAATTCTAATAATAAAAAACAATTAATACAAAGATTAGTTGAGGAATTATCAAAGTCTTCAAATGAGTACAAGAAAAAAAAACCAATAATTTAATATCCGATTTTTTTCAGTATCCCACCGCAGGAGATATGTCTGTTAATGATTTAAATTCTGATAATCAACAAATTTTAAATAGTTTTTTCAAAAATGAATGCCGAGATTTTAGTATTTTTAAACAATATCCTGGTATAAAAATGTTATTTATTAAATATAACACCACAATCCCTTCCAGCGCTCCTGTTGAAAGACTTTTTAGTATAGCTAAAAATGTCTTTACAGATAAACGAGGATGTCTTAATGACCAAAATTTTGAAAATATTTTATTACTGAAATCTAATAATTATTTATAGTCATATATTATATTATTTTATTAATGATAAATAATAATTATTTATATTAATCATATATTATATTAATATCTAAAAATCATTATTTTAGCTATATTTTGATAAATGTGATATCGAGTCAATAAATTTTTTTAGATCATTTCATGATTTTCACAATAGAATCCTAATTTAAGTTTATTCAAACCTTATCTAAGAGTATAATAAAAAATGTATCTGTACATAGATGCAATTTAAATTTATCTGTACATCGATACATTTTAAATTGTATCTGTATCAAGATAACTTTTTAGAAGCTGTATATGTATCTATATCTAGATAAATTTTTAGACGATGTATCTGTATCTAGATCCATTTAAAAAGTATCTTTTAACAACTCTGGAAAATTCCTAGCTATGAACCTGCCTATTATTATTTTACTTAAAAACAAGGATGAATTTCACTCATTTAAATCATTTATGGTTTGGTTAATAAAAAAATCAATTGCTTCCTTAGATGTAATCTTTATGTTTCGTTTCTGCTCTGGATATATGACATTTCCATACACAGATTTTTAGTAGATTGTGAAAGATGTGTCCAAGTGTATATGACATAACATTTTGTATAATATTCAGAGAATAATCATGCCATCTTATTCAAAGCCATATATAAAGTGACTAGCTGATTTATTAAATAATATAATGACCAAAAAAATATATATTGGGTTTGTTGCCAGGTAAAAAGTTTAGATTATAGCCTCAGTAATATTGCATCTTTAATATATATATTATAAATAAGGAAAATAATCTACTCCCTGAGTATATTCCCAAGACATGTTCTCTCTGATATACAGGCTTGATGTCAGGAATTTCCAGGGGGAGGGGGGTAACTGATTATTTAAGAAGATCAATATTTTTTGAAATAAAATAGTGAGGTATGTATAAATATTTTGATATTTTTATTGAAAATTTGTAAAAATAAATATAAATAAACAAAGTAATACTATAATTATAATACGAAAATTTTGATTTTTAAATTTTAACATAAATAAATTAAAAGAAAAATTTTGGCTTATATTTTTGATATGCCTTTAATCTTATGTTTTGTTTTCGTCCATCTTTTAAATATTAAGGGTGGAAATAAGTAATTATTAAGTGAGGTCTGTCTGAGTGCCTTTCAGAGCCTGAAGGTGGTTGTTACACTAGAAATATGATAGTTTAAAAAACATTTGTCCTCTTTGTAATAAAATAATTGTCATCTTTATAAAAATCTTAGTCCTCTTTAAATTTTTTATATATTATTTTATTATTTGATATGCTGATCTATATTTAAGGTGTAAGCAAGATCATGTGATAGGCAGGAAGTATCTTACCATTTTTAATATTTTAAACTTCACTAGGACAATAAGTACTTTGAAAAACTATTTGTGCTCTTCATGTAAGAATATTTGTCCTTTTCCAATTTTTTTAAAATATTATATTAATAGTTGACATATATTGGTCTAATTAACGTTTAGGTGTCATCGTGTGAAAAGCAGGAAGTAGTTTATAGTATCTATAATTTATCTTGTTTAATTGATTATATCTCCCTAATATTGACTGACTTATCATCTTCAAGAAGATATTGAACAAATTCACCAACACTAGTGTCTTTTTGTCAAGGAATATAAAAGGAGAGTTTAATTTTTTTTATTTATAATTGAATGAATATTTTATAATTAATATTTTAATAAGTTTTTTTTGTTTATCAAATTGATTTAGTTAAATAAAATTTTAATAACTAAAGGTTTTTAAGAATTTTGTTTTTTCATTTAGATTTAATTGTTAAGGGCAAATTCAATAATAAATTTAGGGGCTGAAAAAATTTTCAGTGGCCATTTTTGGGGACCAAAAATTATCACGGGACCAGGTTTGTGGATAAAAAATTATGGGATGAGGGGTGCGGTCAGCCCCTATCCTGGCTTTGGGCCTGCTGATGTATTACCAATAGGATTAAAGAGATAGAAAAATATAATTTTGGCATGACTAAATGGAAACTAGCATTCATGCATCCCCTATCAAAAACGCCTTAATTTAATAATATTAATATAGATTCGTGTTTAGCTTGACGAGTTAATTTAGAAAATATTTTTTTATTTAAAAAAAAACTGATAACATAATGAAATTAATACCCACCCCTAGAGAACTGCACGGGCTGTCCGTAGCCCGACCCGACCCGCTCGGGTTCGGACATCAAAAAAAATTTCTCGGGTTCGGGCTCGGGTCGGGTTATAAAAGCTGTCCGACCCGAAACCCGACCCGACAATAAATAATAATATTAATATCTTAAATAGTCAGTATAATTTATAATATTAATTATAAAATCATATTATTTAATATTTATCACATTAGGATTAAAATGTCAATCATATTAACATGTCATGTCATTATTAATTATTATTTTATAAACCTAACAACCGGATACCAAACTATTTTATCACTAAATTGTGTGTTTCCCGTGAATTACAAGATAAGACATATTTTATGTGCTAAAGATAAATTTTATTCATTATTTATTATTTATCTAGCCTATACATTGTCTTTTTTAACATTTGTTTTAAAAAATTTCCATATAAAATTTAAGATTGGGATTTGATTCAGGGGAACTTATTTCTATAATTTAAATTTCACTACCATAAATGTTAATCATCCTAGAAATTAAAAAATATTATATAAAATTGGTAATGATATTCTAAGTTACATTTATATATAAAATATAATCTTTACTTATTTCGTTTTGGTATTATTATTTTTTTATCTATCTACCTTAATATGAGTTGTAAATTTTCCAGCTAATTTTGGTTGTCAATATTTTAAAATATGGCAGAAAAAAATTAGGAAATTAATACAAGATTCTCAAAGAAAATAAGATGTATACTGTGATATGTAAAATTTAAAACATGAATATTAAAAAGAATCTGTATCTGTATCTTTTGTCAAGAAAATGGAAAAGATACAAGATTCTTTTCAGAATTAAGATCTTAGATACAGATATTAGTATCTTATTAAAAATGTCAAAATATACTGAGTACAAGATATAAAGGGATCTTGTATCATGTATCTTAGATACAAGTACGCAGTACTGCCCAACTCTGTTTATTTCAATCTAATTGATTAAAGTCATTTTAAATATTTTTTTTAGATTTTAGACACAGCTATATTAAAAAAATTATCTCAATGGATGCAAAATTAAAAAGAATTGGTGAAAAGATTAAGACAAAAGAGTATGAAGTAAGGGAGAATCTTAATGGGAAATCCGATGTATGGAAGAAATTTTCATTTATATATGATGAAAATAAAGAAAAGCTTAATTATGTCATTTGTATTATATGCAAATTTATTTATGTATATAATTCAATAACAACAGGTTAGATATTTATACATAAAATATGATCTTATTAAATTATTTTAGGCACAAATCAACTTAAAAGACATAAATGTGTATATACAAATACAAGTACAACAGCAGAGAGTAAAAAGACACAATTAACAATTGATAGTCTTTTTGGTACTGATCCGAAAAAACTCAAAAGTTGTACAAAATTGAAAAAAGAGTGCACAAAGGTGCTTACTATGTTTTGTGGACGTGATTTGAGATCATTTGATACAATTCATGGGGAAGGCTTTGTTGATTGTTGCCAATATTTTGCCAAAATTGGTTCAATATATGGAAATATTGATGTTAAAAGCATCATTCCAAATCCTACGACAATTTCTAGAAATTTAGTAGATACTGCTGATGGTATCCGCAATAAATTATTTCCTATATTAAACTCATATATGAAAAAGGGTCGATGTGCTGGTAACAAATTTATGAAAATATGGTTAAATTATTAATAAAATTATTTATTAAAAAATATAAAATAAATATATATCTTAATATTATTAATGAATATTTTTTTCTTAAGAAACTACAAAGGTGGTACATACGTTTTTGGACTTCTCTCTATGGGAGGCTGACAATGCGTATTCTGATGCTAGCGCCGAAGTTGACGAGCTAAAAAATACCTTGATCCGAAATTATGTATTGATGACGATAATATTTTAAAATGGTGGAAAACAAACCATTATGAGTTTTCTAATTTAAGTATTTTAGCTCTTAAATTCCTGGCTATCCCTGCTTCTTCGGCTAGCAGTGAAAGGGCGTTTTCAGCTGCTGGTAGGGCCTTTGAGGAGAGAAGGACTCGTTTAAAGCCAGATCAACTGGACGCCTCTTTATTTATATATCATAATTATTCACTTTGTGATAATTTTGATAATGATATTGATGAGGTCAATATAATATAATATATTTATTATATTTTTTATATATTTATTAACTTTTATATCATATCTATATTCGCATAAATGATGCTTATTGTATTATATAATCGTTATAATGTTTAAATTCGCTTGTATATTAATCATTTTATAATATTTTTTACAAATTTAATAAAATGCAACTTAATATATATCTTGAATAGATTATGGCCGTCAAATAAACTTTTATTTAAGGTGGCTGAACTGAATAAATACACATAAATTTTTTTTTGGTTATTATAATATTAAAACTTAAATTGCAAAATTTTATTTGGGTCGGGTCGGGTTGGACTAAAAAATGTGTGCTCGGGCTCGGGTCGGGCTTGGACAAAAAAAAATTTTAAATTCGGGCTCGGGTCGGGCTCAGGTTGCGAAAAAATTACTTTGCAGTTCTCTACCCACCCCTATGCGCATAATTATGTATTCTTTTAAAAAATGAACTCAAATATCAGATTTAGCTCTTAAAAGGATTCATATAATATTAATATTAAATTTTAAAATTTTTTATAGTGGGCTTTTGAAAAGACATTATTTTTTGACCAAACTACCCACTCTATGATAGCCCTAATTTGAAAATATAAATATAAAATCATGTTTAGCTCTTCAGTGAGTCAGAAAATGGTAGTATTATTTTTTTTAAAATTTTTATAATAGTATAGCGGTGCAGATATTATATATCGGGTCGGATCGGTACCGATATTTAGCATTTCCCAAAAATATCGGATCAAACCGATACCTGTAAAAACCGATTGATCTTTTTACTTATACTTTTTTTTTGTTATTTTATGTTATGTATATTTATTTTACATTAATATAATATTTTTTTATCTATTATAATTTTTTTTTTTTAATTATAGCAGGGAGGAGAACCCTAACCCTCAATATTTCGCCGAACCCAACCCAAACCTTTTTTTTAAATTTAGGGTTCAAGCTTTTTTTTAATTTTAAAAAGTTTATTTTTTTATTTTAAACTTTCATTTTATTTAATTTAAATAATATGTTAAAATTAATATAATATATTTTTATTTATAAAAGATTTCCTATTTAAAGAGTTCTTATTCAAAACAATTGTTTTTTTATTCAAAAAAAATATTAATTTAAAAAAAACATTTTTTGGTCATTTTTTTGTGTAATTATATTTGTTATATTTAATAATCTTTTTATATTATAATAATGATGATAATTATTTTTGACAATACAAATTAAAATAAATTTTATAAAAAAAATGATATTTCTGTTATTTTAACTAATTTTAATAAGTCATTATTTTTCTGGTCTCTGAACCCTGAACCTAAACCAGGTTCAAGGATTCTTCATTGAACCCAAACCTGAACCCATTTTTTTTAGAAGGAAGGTTCTTGTCCCTGAATTATAGTCAATTGTATAAATAAAAAAATTAAATTAAATGCATAATTCGATTTTTTTAGTGATGTTTACCTGTAACTAGTTACATTTTGGCTAAAAAATAACTGTAACTAGTTATATTTTTAAAATTGTAACTAGTAACTGTAACTAGTTATAATTTTTGAAATGTAACTGCCTAAAGTAACTAGTTACTTTTAACGATATATTCAAATAATTAATTTTATTTTTAATATTTGTGATAAATTAATTTTAAATTAAATTTATTAATTTAATATTTTGTGAAAATGACTGATTGTTATAATTTCCCGTTCAAATTGATTTTCTTTTCTTAAATTGTTACATTGCTGCTGGGCTTCATAATTTTGTAAGGAAATTCAAGTAATTTAATAAATTTTAATATTATATTTATTTACAAATGTAGCACAATATATTTTTTTCCATCAAGTAACAAGCATTGGAACTTCATAACATACGTAATAAAAAAAAATTTTTAGTATAAGGAAAAACAAAGACAGATTATTTTAGAATTTAATATTAAATTATTAATCATTACTTACAAGAACCATGTCTAACAAAAGCATAAGAACATGACTCAAATTTAAAAAAATGATTGCTTTCTGAAATTTATTTTTTGGTCTAGCCTGAATTTTATTTATATTCAAATTATATATAAAATAGACACATTTTAGAACTGTATGTTTCACTCTAATTGATTATTCTATTCCTAATTTAGATAGTGCTATTTATATTTATCTCCTAGATGGAAGAAACAGAATACAATATGGATATGGATTCTGAGTCAGATGAAGAAATTATACTTTCTCCTACAATAATTGCAAAAAAAAATGACCTTCCTTGGCCAAGTTTTGAAAAATATTTTGAATACCACAAGGCTGGTAATAATACTAATATTATTGTCAAATGCCTCTTATGCCTACCATATAAAAAGTATATTGCAGCATCTAAGTCATCCACAGCTAATTTATGGAAACATATCTCTGTAAGTTTATATAAATTGTATTAATATTATATAGAATAATTAAATGAATTAACTTTATAACAATAATTAATATTAATTAAATATTTATATATATAAAACATATATCTATAGAGAAAGCATCCTAACCAATCCGTAAATATAAAACAAACCATAGATAATAAAAAAACAATTTAGCCACATCAAGTAAGTTAAAACAAACTAAACTTGACTTTGGTGGAAAATCAAATTTTAAAGGTATCAGCAAAGATAAATTTGATTCACAAATTATTAAATATATAATAAATGGAAATCACCCATATACAACCTGTGATGATGAAGATTTTGTTGAGCTGATAAACACCCTGCAACCTAATATGAAGATTATATGCAGACAAACCTTAACCTCAAGAATATCAAAATATTTTGTTCAAATGAAAGATATTCTAATAGAAAAATTGTTAGAGCCTAATTATGTTTGTACAACAGCTGACTGCTGGACAGCATTTAATCGGTAAATATTATTTTTTACTAAAGTGCACAATACATTTGGTTATCTTTTGTTATATTAATAATAGCTCCTATATTGGTATAACAGTGCATTGGATTGATGTGGAGAAATTGGAAAGGCGTTCAGCTATTCTAGCCTGCCAAAGACTACAAGGTAGGCATACATATGATGTGATCAGCAAAGCCTTAACTGCTGTTTTTAAGGAGTTCCATATCCAAAATAAAAATATCTGCACAATAACGGATAATGCTAGCAACTTTTCAAAGGCGTTTAGGTATGCCTAACTAATTTACTTTATAAATTATTTCTCTTAGAGTATTTAGCTGCCCATCTATTATAATGGAGGAAGATTCTGTTTCTGATATTGAATATATCTCAATAGAAGATATAATGTCTTCTTCTGGGCTCTCCAGTTATGATATTAATGACTTCGACTACCTTCCCAAGCATCGAAGATGTTCTTGCCATACATTAAACTTAGTGGCAACACAAGATGCCAACAAGTTACTTTTAAACAATGAGGGGTATAGGAAAGTTTATAACTTAGCTATATCTAAATGCCAACGTTTGTGGAACCTCCAAAATAAATCTGGGCCATCTGCCGAACTTATTTTAAAAAAATTACATTCTCAACTCCCATATCCCGTTATAACAAGGTGGGGTTCCTTTTATAAATCCCTGGCCAAAATATTATCGTTCTTAAATCAAGTGCCTGTGGAATTTGATTCATTATGTGATGAATTAAAATTGTGTAGATTCACATCAGATGATCGTGATTTTATAAAAGAATATTGTAGTGTAAATTTAAATTAAAGTCTTATAAAAATTTACAATTTAAAAATTAGATTATGCGACCAGTGTCCAAAGCCATTGATATTCTTGAAGGTGAAAAGTACATGTATCTGGGTTATTATACCCCAACAATAACACAAATAATTATATGTATGGCAGATGTGCAGGTATTAAAATATTGTCAACCTCTAAAGGATACTATATTAGCTAGTATTGAAAAAAGGTAACTTAAATCAAATAATTATTTATAAATTAATAATATCATGTTATAGGTTTAATAATCTTTATGATAATGACAACATCATTGCTTTAATTCTTCACCCTTTATTTAAAACTGACTGGCCTTGGATTAGGCAAGAAAGGAATAAAGCAAAAAAAGAGGAAATTTTAAATTTAATAAATACCTTAATACCTCAGAGTGAATCCCAGACGAATGAATCATGCTCAAAACCAACATCACTTGATGTAGTTGGATTTTTTGACCTAAAGCGCCAAAATATTCTGGATAATAAACTTATAGAAAACTTTATCAAATCTAATAACAACACGTTTTCTTTATATAACGATTTTCCAAAGTTAAAATTACTCTTTATTAAATATAATGTTGTTCTAACATCAAGTGCTCCCGTAGAGCGCTTGTTCAGTCTAGGTAAGCTCATATTTGGAGATAAACGAGCACGTCTTCTAGATAATAACTTTGAAATTAATTTGTTGTTAAAAGCAAATAAACATTTATAAGATTCTAATTTTTATGAAAAATAAATGTTTTTTTTTTCAATGCAAATATATATTTTTGTATTCGATGTAAATATTCAATTTTGCGATATTTTTTATATAAATAAATTGTATATTATTTAATAACTGATTATACTTTGTTTTTTTTTATATTAAATAAATGTCAATAAATAAATAATGCACATATGAATGATGTATAAAGTAAGTAACTAGTTACTTTTGAAAATAACTGTAACTAATAACTAGTTACTTTTGTAAAAATGTAACTAGTAACTGTAACTAGTTATGTTTTTGCCAATGTAACTAGTAACTGTAACTAGTTATGTTTCAAAAGTAACTTTTAACATCACTAGATTTTTTACATAAAAATATTGATTTCTTAATTAAATTTGGTTCAAAGGGGGGTAGTGAAAAGTAATTATAAATATCGGATCGGCTTTGAACCGATATCGGAAAATATAGGTGAAAAATATGTGGATTGGCACAGCCCTATTTAATATTTTACTTAACAGTTTTTTTAAAATTCAAAATAGCTTTTTCAATATCATCTCAATAAGCTAAATACAATTCTATATTTTTTTTTTAATTTAAGTACTTTTAATAGGGATCGCAAATTTTTTTTAAAAAAAAGCTAATGTCATTTTCTGAATCTGCGAAGAGCTAAACCTGATTTTATATTTTCAAATTAGTGCCTTAATAGGGGTTGCATAGGAATTACTAGTTTGGTCAAAAAATGATTTTCAAAAGCCCTCTAAGTTATAAAAAAATTTAAAATTTAGTATTGACATTTTCAGAATCGAGCTAAATAGAATTCTGAATTCATTTTTTAAAATAGCGCATAATTATCATGGTTGTGTAGGGACCTGTATGGGGGCACATAAGGATGCATATGGGTACATGTAGGGATGCATATTTTAGTCATGTTAAAAATGTATTTTTTTAAATTTCATTTTGATATCAGTTTTTTTGTAATATAAAAAATACATTTCTAAATCAACTTGATAAGCTAAACACAATATTATATTAATATTATTAAATTAAAGCTTCTTTGATAAGGGGAATGTAGGATTGCTTAGTTTATGGAGGAGCATATTTTAGTCACACTTTAAAATTAACAAAAACTACCAACATTTCATTTCTAAAAAAACTGTTATTAAAGAGATTTTATTGTAATACCCTCATAATTTTAATTTTTGTACTTTGGTAGCATTTGCCGTGATGAATAAAACATTTTTAATATACGAGCAATTTCCAAAAATGCGGCCAACCCACTACCATTGCTATCACATCCAAATGATAATGCCTAATGAAAACCAAAGATTATGTATAATAAATTGTATTTATATATAATTCATATCCAAAAAAAACTCAAAATTAAATTAATACTATAACAAAAATAATTCATTTAATAATAATAATTACTGGTGAGAGACCAAATGTATCATAATGTGTTACTATAATAATATTTGGAGATTCTTCTTCATGTATACCACTTAATTTTGCCTATAAAAAAATTAAAATATGATATTAAATATTATTAGAACTTGAATATTTATTAATTCAAAGTTATCTAATGCTCTGGAATAAGTCGATGATTGCAATTGTGCATCCTTAGTTTTGTATGTAACAAAATAGGTATTAATCGTAGCAGCCTTAATCATTTCATTAAATGCAGTATCATCTTATAATTTTTATATAAATGAATATATTATATAAGTACCTTTTTTATTTTTATTTTGATCTGAATTTAATGTATTAATTATTCTATTCAAATCATTGTGATTATATTGATCTTCAACTATCAAATAAATTGGTATTGCTATGTCAGAACTTATTAATCTTTGTTCAAGTTCAAATATATTCTACAATATATTTTAATTAAAATAGCTTTAATGAAATTTCAATTGTTACTTCTCTCTCAATTTCATTAAATAGATTAATATTGTTAGGTATAATAATGACTAAAGCAGCAGCTTTATTTAATATATCTGATAGATGTCCACTTATTTCTGATAAATGTAAAATCAGACATTTTCTTATCCAGTTATTTGATGTTATTATTTTTGCTTCTGTATTAATAGCAACACTTTGACTACCTATATTATATTTTTAAAAAATTTATAATAGTGGTGTTTAACTAACCATATGAAATGCCTTGAAGATCAAATTGTTGTATTCTAAAGGCAGGAAATGTTTTTGAAGATAAAACATGATGAGGAACTAAAATAACTAATAAAGGAATCAGTATCAAACTGTAAGGCGAAATCGAGATCTTAAGGGACTCGATAAAATATGATATATTTTCCAGTGTCATTTTGTAAAAATATAAATAAAAAAGAAATTAGTTTGTCAGAAAATTATACATCAATCAGAAATAAAACATAATATATTTGACATTAATAAATCTGATCAAAAATTTTTATACATCAACAAATGTCAAATATTCGATATGAAAATTTTATTTGATAAAATAGTCCAATTAGTAAATTACGCCATGTGAGTATAAAATATTTATTTATGTATTATAATGCAAAATTATTTTTCTTAGATGGTATATAAACATCCTTTATTAAATTAATAGCAAAGTTTTTTTTTGGATTATTATTAAATAGAATTTTTTTTTAATGGTATTTTTTAATTATTTCTGGTTATATCATATCTATATCGATAAAATTTATATATATGGAAGACCTAAAATTAACTTGAACTTAGATTATATAATACAAGGCTGGATTTATTTATATCAAGAATCTAAATCATTTTTACCTAAAATTATTGGTGTTGGGAAGAGTTTGTGACCATCCCTTAATTTTCTATGGTTAACTCACAGAGAAAAATAATTTATATATGAATATCCTCAATTTGGTTCAAATTGGATATATTATAAGATGCTTTAAATTAAATTTACATTTGTGTATATTGAGCTGTTGTTCTCCCTAGTTTGAATACTTAACATGATCTTCAGAATAGTCAGTTCTGTTATCGTCCAATCTCAAACATAACATATCTATTTTATTCTTTTAATATTCAACAATAACTTTGATAATTTAATGATTTTTATCTATTTATTACAAAACAGTATGAAAATAACTATAAATATTTCTAACCTCTTGATTTTTTTTTAAATTTTCCTTATTTTAAAGTTTATTTTATAATCATCATATTGCTTTATGTTCTGCCTATATTTTATTTATTAGTTTCCTTTTGAAATAATCTAATACAACCAAATTATTTGAAATAAATTTCATGTCATAAAGTAAGTATTTTTCAAATTTGGGTCAGATCTAGAGTTTTGGCCTGCAGACCTCTGATATAAATAAAGAAATTAGCATCAATTTTAAATTTTTTTATTTTAAAGTTTAACTAATTTTCAGAATAAAATAAACTCTTTAAAACTAAAGATGCACTAATAATGATACCATCACAATTTTTAATTTTCAAGAAAGAAAGAACAAACCCAAAATTGCAATAAATTTATTTTATTTTATGATTTATCATCATAGAAAAGGATTTAGTTAAAAATTTAACAAAATAAGATATTAATTATGAATAAATCAATAATTCTGTATAATGGATATTTTTTATATTAAATTACAATTTTAGTTAATTGTCATGACTTTAGCTTATGGCATTAATGTAAAGTTATTTATTAGTGCATCTTCTTTTAAAATAATACGAACCTTATCTATTTTTAGGCCAGCTAATTTGGCTATTCTATGGGCCTGTACTGTACTAGAGCTCTACATGGGTAGACCCAAAATCTGACGTAGTTTGGGCTTAAAAAATTTTTTTTTAGAAAAAATAAAAATTTATCTGTATTCAAGTTAAATGAATAATTTACTATATGTTTTTTTTTCTATTGGATCCAAATCATTCAAAATGAATTAAATATTTTTATTTATTTTATGCCTACTGTATTGCCAACACAATTCAAATTAACCTTAAACCGCGATTCATGTGTAAATAGAGTGTTTTTTTACTGATATTGAAAGATCCAATTTTGCCATTATTTGCCTAGTTGTTATCACTTGGGAATTTGTAGTTCCAATTCCTTTTTGATAGAATGAGTACCTTTTGTGAATTGTTAATACTTTTATTACTGCATTAAAATAAATTTCAACCAAATGAATCTTAAAAAAATTTGTTTTATTTATCTTCATTTTGTAAAAAAAATATATTAATATTATATTAAACTAATTATTTTAATACATCCAACCATTGCTAATTACTTTGGCATTTTTTTTATTTTTAAAGTTGAGTTTTTGCAGAGGTGTATCTATACATAGAAACCTATCAGATTTTTGATACCCCTGAAAATTATATCCAATCATTCTATATCAATACCCTATAATAAAATTATTATTTTATAATGCTTAATAAATTATTAATATTTTTTTTTATATATTTCAATATTCCTTGATATTTTATAGTAAATAATAGTTTAAAATGATACAAATGCCTTCACTTTAAGAATTTTAAGAATATGACGCCCCCCCCCTCAATCAATAATTATTTATAATCAATATAATACAGCTAATAATGTCAAACCTTGGTAGCTGGAACCATTTGCCAGCTTGCGTTATTGATGTGGGCACAGGCTACACGAAGATGGGATTTGCAGGCAATTCAGAACCTTCCTTTATTCTCCCCACTGCCGTTGCCATTCGTGAGGGTCCATTCCCAGCTCCTTCTGCACCAGCTTATAGTAAAGAAGGGGGAAGTGGGGGATCAGCCCAGGCTCCCTTGGCCTCTTGCATTATAGAAGACTTAGATTTTCACATTGGAGATCGGGCTCTTTTGGCGGGTGGGCCAGCAGGTGCTGGAGCATATTCGTTAAAATATCCAGTTAGGCATGGGCTCGTAGCAGATTGGGACCTTATGGAAAAATTTCTACAACGTTGCATGTTTGGCCTCCTACGTGTACAGCCTGAGGACCACCATTTTCTCATGACAGAGCCCCCTTTAAACCCACCCGAAAATCGGGAATATTTGGCAGAGATCGTTTTTGAAACATTTAATGCGCCGGGTCTTTACATAGCGGTACAGGCTGTTTTAGCCTTAGCTGCAAGCTGGACTTCTAAGACGGTAGCTAAGCGGACTATGACCGGTAATCGAATATATATATCTTTCTTGGGTATTTTAGATTTTTATAGGTGTTAGGACTAGGCAGGCTTACATGAAATTTAATGCTAAATTCTACTTCAAAAGAATGGAAATGGTTTAATTATTTATTAGCAATATTCATTATTATTTTATATTTTAACACACCAACTTTATTGTTATATGCAAATTAGATGATTAAATTATATTCCTTATTATATATAAATCTTGTTATTTAATAGGGCGGAATGAAATATATTTATTTGTATTCCAATTTCCAACATTTTTGATGCCTTTGATACGATTTACAGGGTATAAAAATAGTAATATTTGGGTGGATTTGTTGATTGTATTTGTTTAAGATATCTATTATGATGACTCTTGATTTTTAATTATATTTATAGTCTCAGTATTTTTTTATGAATATTAATTTAGCACTAGCCAGCCCATATTTAGTTTTTATAATGAAGCTTATTCAAATTTAATAAGTATACACCATAATTAAAGTAGGGTTAAATACCATAAACTGAACGGGAAATTAAAAATCTTGACTCGTTGGACCATATAATAATCAAAATTTTAAAAACTCTTTTAAAATTTGACTCGATCATTTTACCTCATAGGCCGGCCTTGATTTTAAATCATTTTGGCTGTATTTTATAAAATGATTCAAAGGGAAATTGAAAATAAATTATATTTTAAAAAAATCGTTTTTTAGTGTTTTATAATTATTTTTTCCTCAATGGATATAATCTCATCTGAATTATCATTGTATTAATTATATGGGCCAGATATGGGCGAAGGTCTAATAAGGGCTAGATGGTTATTACTATGGTTAATATTATAATTTCTCTTTTTTTAAAAAATTGCTCGAAAATAAAACTCGTATTTAATATTTAAATAGAACAAATCTGTTTTTCAAAAATAATATTTTTTATAACAAAACCAAATTTCTCATCCAATCAAATTTAATGATATTTTTTATTTTTATAAAGGCACAGTGATCGATTCTGGCGATGGAGTAACACACGTTATCCCGGTTGCAGATGGGTTCGCCATAGGCAGTTGCGTTAAACACGTGCCTATAGCCGGTCGCGATATAACTGGCTTTGTTCAACAATTGCTTAGGGATAGAAACGAAACCGCTAACGTTCCACCCGAGCAGAGTTTGGAAACGGCTCGGCTCGTCAAAGAAAAAATGGGGTTATCACTTTTATAAGCTTGAAAATTTCTCTTTTTTGATTTTAGTCTTGTCTTTGAAAATTCAAGACAACTAAAAAAAATAGATTTCTTGATCGCATTTTGATACACGCGAAAGAAAATATTAAAATTTTGCTAGGCTTGATTAATAGAGAGCTATTAACGTTCTTTCTCAAAAATGCCTATCTCAGTTTCAGTTGTAACACTGATCTACCTCATGATTAGTGTTGTTAAACGGCTCGATTTGGGCTGATTTATAAAAACGGCTAACTTACTATTTTCGCCATAAAAATATTGCCTAAGCCTCGAGATTTTAATAGATGCCCAAACCGGTGTGCCATCTATGAGTAAAATCTTCATGCTTGCATTATATTTTTCTGGATGAAATATTAAGTTAGCCTTTTTTAAATATCGGCTCAAATCGAGTCATTTAACAAAACCATTCATTATTATAAACCAAATGATTAATGATTTTTAGATAATCATTAGGGTAATCAGAAGAGAAACCCCTTTAAAAACTATCAAATATATCTATAGAAAGGAGCTGTCTTAATAAATCAATACAATTTATGCTTGTAAAGATATTTTTAACATTAACACGAAGTACCCCTAGAAATGGGTCAAGAAAAGAATACCAGCCGGATAACCCTCTTCAATATGAACGGATTAGCGTTTTATCTATATAAAATATAATTTTAAAAAGAATAGAATACCTTAAATCAAATGTTTCAGTTTCTGGTAATATCAGAAATGCAAGGAATATTTCAACGATTTTGCATATTAGCGATATTCATATGAACTTGCAAAGTTTGTATCCATACTATTCAATGAGTATCGGACTATTAATAATTCATAGTTAAATCATCTAGACTCTAAGGGGCATAACAAAGGGCTTATATTAAAAATATACTGTGAGTTAAAAATTAGACAAAAGTACATGGGATTTAACGTCGGAAAATTAAAAAAACTTTGAGAATTATAAAAAATACATAGCCTACATAAAAATAATAGAGGGAATTAACAGATTTTATTTATCTGATAGGCAGGGACCCAGATCTAGAGGTCGGCCAGGCCCGTTGAATATTTTGTTCAGCCCAGCCCGTTAAATATTTTTAATACAAGTTGTCCGTCCCGTCCTAATATTTTTTTATGAGGGATCATAAAAATTTTTGCACAATCAGAATCTGAAAAATTAAAATAAAATATATGCGAAAATTTTTTGTTTGTTTTTCAAAATATTTATAAAATTATTCAGTATGTTTCTAGATTGTGAAAAGTTTCGCTATTTTGCCTATTCTATCCAGTCACTTTAAATAGTCATCTAATTTTATTTCTAATAGTTTATAACCAATTAGATTTTAAACAATATAAATCTTGGACTAATAGCAAAATAAAAATTAGTTGACCAAAAGCAAAGCATAAACATTATTATTAAAAAAAACCCAAAAAATGTATTATTTCCATCACAATTTTTCTAATAGGAGCAAAAGCAAAAAATATTATTTTTTGAAAAGCAAAAGAAGTGTAAGAATTATATATTTTCAAGCCTTAGCCCTACTAATAAGAATAACTCTATTTCATGATTTTTTTAATCAGAACATTTCTCCCAAAATAATATTGTGGCTATTTATATTTTTTTGGGTAATCTAATTTATTACATTTTAATTTTTTTTATTTATTAAAAAAATAAAGATACGTTTGCCCCGATATGTGCCGCGAATTTAATAAGTACGACACGGATCCTAAATCCTGGATTAAACAATTCAAAGGTTATTCGTTAATTTCATGAATAATTTTACTTCTTTCTCTCCGTTCTTATGCTCTAATCTTTACCGTCATATTATATTATAGTTTTTTTTAAATATAATACAAAATCCTGGAAATTAATAAATCTAATATTATTATTAGTAAATATAAATAATAAAATTATGCAAACACGTGATAGGTCAACATAAGTTATAATAAGAATTTTCTATTCATTATATAATTTTTTTTCTTATTCAAATTATAGTATGTACTATTTGTGCATAGAACTAATCCTAAAAACAATACGATGTTAATGTCATATGTGGCAGTTATTTATAGACTCTTTTTAGGTAATAGTAGTGTTTGCAAGGTCTCATCCTGTCTTGAATCGTTAAGCCAGATGGGACCAAAATATGCTAAGCACTATAAAAGTTAATATTTAATTAGAGCATAGACGAAGCAGCAGCGAACACTAATCAAACTAACAAAATAAGCTTGTTCTCATACAACAAACAACTAATGTCAGACCTGTTATTAAGAAATACATATTAAATTTATAATAAAATACCAAAAAAAACCTATGGATTCCAAAACAAAATATATTTTAAATTTAAAAAATCAAATTATCTAAATCAAATCTCCATTCCCTCACCCTATGGATAGCAATAGAACAAAAAATCTAATATTATAACGATAAAAAATTATACTAAGGAAATCAGTAACTTGCATTAGGAGAGCCGTAGAATACAGCAAGAGTTATTATAGCATTATCGACTTGAGGGCTACGTGCTTGATATCAAGTAAATTTTGACAAAAAAAAATTAACTTGACTTGCCTGATCCAACCAAAACACAAATATGGAATAGTCTATATTTAAATACCTTTATTATTATAAAAATTGAACTTTGTTTATAAGCTACTATGTCCAAACGTGCATTATCATTTAATATCCAAAAAATTGTGAAATATTGCTTTAAAATAATTGTTCGAAATTAAGTCACAATCATATTAATCGCCATTTTCCATAATTACTATGCTAAAATTTATCTTTTATTTAAAGGCATAAATAATGTAACTCGTCGCCCTTTCGTTATAGACGTTGGTTACGAACGTTTTTTAGGTCCTGAAATTTTCTTTCGACCCGAAATGTGGAGTCCAGACCACAGAGAGTCCTTATCCAGCGTTGTTGATGGCGTTATACAATCCTGTCCTATTGATGCCCGTCGCCCTCTTTATGAGCATGTGGTTCTCTCGGGAGGATCCACCATGTTTAAAGGTAATAAAGAAAGGGAGAAAAAGAAACTGACAAAATATATTAATTTTGCTTCTTTTAATAAATTTCCCAAAATTATCACAAAAGATCTAGGTAGAAGACTACAACGTGATTTGAAGAGAAGCGTGGATGCTAGACTTAAGCAGTACGCAGAAGCCGGAAGTGTTAAAGAAGGTGGATCCGGAGGAATAGTTCCTAGGCCTATAGATGTTCAAGTGGTCACTCATCATATGCAGAGGCATGTCAAAAGCAATTAGAGAAAAAATCTTTTTTTTATTTTTTATCTATTAAATGATTGAGAAAGGTGAGAGTTTGTAGACTTATTTTAAAATTAATTGAATTTAGAATTGTATAAAAATTTTGATAAGGAAGGAAAGATGAAGAGAGTTTGATTTTTAAATATATTCTTAAAAGCTCTGTCCAGGATAAAAAATGTTTTTTTTGCATTTCTGAATTATTTATCAGGTATGCTGTGTGGTTCGGTGGTAGTATGCTAGCATCCACTCCAGAATTTTATAAAGTTTGTCATACCAAAAAAGATTATCAAGAATATGGGCCTTCGATTTGCCGTTACAATCCAGTTTTTGGGGCCATGAGTTAAAATTGTACCAATCACTTATTCTTTAAAATAATATCTCACCAGTATTTTGTTTTATTCACATACATTTGTAAAAATATTTTATATTTATATTGACCGAGAAATAAATTAATGTGATAAGAAAAAACGTGATGAAAATATAATGCTAGTTAAGAACGAAACTACCTGATTGTTTTCTTTATTTTAAGATAACTGCGTTAATACATTTACATTGAGACACCAAGTCAATACTAAAGAATGATATGCATGATGGAGGCTTATGAGAATGATGGTCTGGTGTGAGGTTAAATGTCTCAGAATGTAAGACATTGTGATTTGACAAAAATAAAAATGCTAAAGTGGATGTTGGGTAAATATAAAAAGATTATATTGACAATTATAAAATTTGGTAATTTTTTCAAAATAAAAAAGACATCATTTTTAAACTTTTAACCTTGAAATCTCTGGAACTAATAGAGCTAAAGTACTAGACATTTAATTACGCTATTTCTTACAAAAGTGTAAAATTTCATATATGAAAGATGTCCACAGAATGATATTTATTTAATGTATAATGACTTTGGGGTGATTTGAACATTTTGAAAGAAGACTGGGGAGTAGGATATTTCAGGAATAGATATCTAAAATAGTTTGGGGTTAAATAGATATATATCATTCCCAGAGACCTGCAGAGGTACCATTTGCACGGTCTGGCCCGGATTTTTTTTAAAATTTTTTATGGTTCGGCCCGGATATTTAAAAATTATATTCGACCTGGTATATAGAAAAAATTCACCTATTCGGTATTTTATCATATTTTTTGGCGAGTATTATCATTTAATAAGCAAGCATATTATCTGATGTTGTTAAACGGCTCGTTTTGAGCCGATTTTTAAAAACGGCTAACTCAATATTTTCGCCAGAAAAATATTGACTAAGCTTCGAAATTTCGATACTATATGTCTAGACCTTTGCTCCTTCTATACAAAATTTTCAGGCTTGCGTAATATTTTTCTGCATAAAATACTGTTAGCCGTTTTTAAAAATCGGCTCAAAACGAGCTGTTTAACAACACTACCATATTTTATTTTTTTTTATTCTAAACAGATATTTAGTATATTACAAATTGATACTATAAAAAATTTGTGTAAATAATATTTTGAGAATATACTATATTAATTGTGTTTATAAAAAAAATAAAACTCATATTTTAAAAATGTTACGTATATTATATAGTAATGTATTTATTACCTACTATCCTTTGCATATTTATTCCATGGCAGGAAAACTATTTATATTATGTAATAGATACTATGAGTGTTAGCTAGTGTTAACTTTCACCCAACATTATATTAATCATAACTATATAATCATTATAACCATATCTAATTGACGAATATAATAATTTATGTTGTATAAATTTTTTAAAAAAATTTTGCGGCTTGGCCCGGTTATTTTTTAAAAAAAAAATTTCAGGCCCGGCTCGGGTATTTTTTAAAAAAAAAATTTTAATCCGGCCCGTGTACCAGGGCCGGGCCTACAGGTCTGATCATTCCACGATGGTACCAGTTTTTCCACTGACTAACATTTTAGGTGAGATTGAGGTAAGGTTAATATTAATATATACAATAAAAAAAATATAATTTTGAAACTAATTATCTAAAATAATTTGTGGATATCATTATCCCCCAACGAATTTTCTCAAACAAAACTCTTGGATGAGTTTAGTGTTAAGTTTAAAAAGTTAGCCTAAAAAAATATGATAGAACCTTGGTTTAGTGGTCTGCAGAGCGATTTCTTCGCGGCCTGAGCCCGAATTATAAAAAAAAATTTTAATGATTATTTTGGATTTTATTTATCTGGTTGGACGACAACTCGTGCAGACCTCTACCTTGGTCTTCCTGTAGCTTTGCATTACACAAGTATCAACTTTTCGGAGCATTCCAATGGAAATACTTCAGCACTTAATTCGGCAGAAATTTTGAAAATAAATATTCAGATATGGCTAACGTAATTTTTATCCCACTTGTCACCAATACTCTTGGTGTTTTTGGTGAGGAATTTCTTAAATTTATCACATTATTAGGGACAAAGTTGAGCCAAATAAGTGGCGATCTTTATGAAGCCTGCAATTTCAAATAAGCAATTATGTTGGCTATTCGCCTGAGTAATCGCATTGTCATTCATAATTCCATATAGCAATGCAATAGAACCTATCTCTTAATTGTTTTTTTATTTAATTTTTATCCTCTTGCTTGTTCGTTTTAAATATTTATATATATGTGCTATATTTTTAAATTGATTTTTATATTATGTTTGTTTTAAATTCGTTTCTTTACAAGTACTCAAATAAAATATAAAATTAACTGAAAAAATATATTACTATTATATATATAACATTTAATAATTTTTACTTTATGTATCTATTATAATAATTTTACTAAAATAAATTATTAATAGGTTACTAATAGTTATATTATATAAAATAATAAATATTACAATCAAATGTCTCTAAATTCTTATCACATCAATACCGCGAAATGCATTGCCGTGAAAAGGTATTACTGCTCACTAATGCATTAAAGCGGATGTAATATATTTATTTATTTTTGACAAAGTGTTAATATAACTAATATATAATATTAAATTCCTTTCCTACTTATAATGTTTTCTACTTTATAATAAAGAGTTCATCAATTAATATATTTATATTTACCGGGTTTACCATAAAAGCAGGGTCGTAGCCAGGAATTTTCACTTAGGGGTTCCAAGTGCTTACTTGAGGGGGGGGGGCACTATTTTTTTAAAATCAAACAAATAATTACGCATTCATAGAAATTTTTTCCTATTTTTATTAAAAATTTAATAACAAAATAATACTATAATATGAATATACAAAACAAAAAATACTATAATATGCATATACAAAACAAAATATTACTATAATAGAATACGGCGATTTTTATTTTTAAATTTTAATATAAATGAACTTAAAGATAAATTCTGCGTTATTCTTTTTTCATACGCCATTAATACTAAATTTTGTTTACGTTTATCCTTCATAGACTCTACTGCTCGATAAAACTCTCTTTAATGTAGAGAACGAGGCCTCACAAGAAGCCGTTGATATCCCAATGATTATCGCTGCTGAGTAGCATTTATATAATTCTTTAAATGCCTGATTATATTTTTTTTATACATAATATGTAAGATATTTTCAAAATTTAAATAATCAGGGTCAAGGGGGGACAATGTATTAAAAGATTAAAATCATCTTCTGTAAATCGGTCTAAAAAACGATCCACAAAGTTATCTATAATTTTATAATATATCCTTTTTAAAGAACTCCAATTGGAGTCTTTTTCACAATCGAATTCTAGTTTGCTATCAACTAAAAAATCTTGGAAATTTTTAGGCGTTTTACGTACCCGTGATGATTTTTGGGGAGTAAGATTACATTTTGATAAAAGTTTTTCAGCCTTAATCATAATCAAAGCAAAAGAATTATCACTTCTTTTATTTTTTAATATATTGATAGTAGAATCAATACAATTTTTAGCATCCACTAGATTAGTACCTACTGATTGTAGATACTTATTTAGTGGATCTATTGTAATTAATATCTCATAAATTATGATGGCTAATATAATGTAATTTATATTAATACATTGAGATAAAAGACCAGAGGCTTCGACTGAATCATGAATTGAAACCTCTGAATTAGGAGTTCTATTAGAAAAGTAAAATAATACTTCACCAATAGCCTCAAAATTCTCATAAATAATGCGAAATGTTTCCAAATGACCAGTCCACCTCTGGTCTAAAAGTCTCTTAAGGGTGTGGCCTGTATATTTACAGGATACGTTAAAACGCCTGAAAAAATTATACAATGCATTTGATAAATTATAAAAATTAGAAATAATAACAATATTATTATACCAATTTTGAACCACAAGATGCAACTTGTGGTTGTAGCAATGTATAAAAGGAACATTTTTATTGATTTTTTTGAAGAAGTGTTTGTACTCCTCCATTTCGGCCAGACATAACGTTTGCATCATCATATGCCTGGCTTACTGAATTAATATTTAGATCATTAGCTTTAAAATGCAATCTGTAATGCTTTCAGCAGAAAGACACTCTAAATTAATGATTCCTATTAAATTTTCTTGGATTTCTTTAGAAAAAATATAGCGAATTATTATGCTCAGGTTTTCACAACCTGAGCATCTTTTGTCTCATCAGCCTTAAGACAAAAAAAGGGCATCTCGCTTTTATTATATTTGTCTGAAATATGTTCAAGCACCATATTTGCCATAATGGATATTACTTCGTTTTGAATCTGTGGTGATGTATACTGGGCATTTTGGGGTATAAATTTCATAATTTTATTTAATTCAGGGTTTTTTTGGATGGTGTAGGAAAACATTATTATAAATAGCCCAGAAGAATAAATTATGTTTTCATCTTTTGCAGCATCCGTAATATTTGTTGAACCAGTCCCACGGAAAGGTAGCTCTTGTATGCTAAGAAATAGCATCAAATCAAATATTGATTTAATATAATATTGATTACGATTAATTTGATCACCTCCCAACATTTTAGTTATTTCTGTACCTTTGTTTATATTTTGATTTTTATCATGCCATATTGTAATTGAATTTAAATGAGCTTTTGAGCTCTCGTGTTTTAGCAGTCCCTTCTTGGCAGCTAACGAATTTTTGCAATTTCTGAATCCCGTTTGTCAAAATTTATCACTTGGATTACACAAGTATTTCCTACATGGAAAACATAAGGCAACGTCAGCTTCTACACTATACTCCAACCAGTCTCGGCCTCTATACCTTGATTTTTGAAATGATCTTTGCCTTCCATGGATATCTTTTTACGCGTAATTGTTTAATTTGATTAGGTTTATTCTGGCCAAGGTCACCTGGGATTTGAATTGAACCATTAGAGGACTTTTTTGACACTAAAAATATTATAATTAATAAATTGTAAAGGGTCATAAATAATAATGGGCGAAGGAAGGGCATGCTGAAAATGAACAAACACAAAATTTATCTTGTATTTAAGATACAAGTATTTGCTATACTGTAGTGTCCAACCCTGATGAAGATTATCAGTAAAGTTGATCA